GCCGGCACTTCAGGGAGGGGGGATCGGCGGAGTTCCGGCGGTGGAGGGACGTGGCGCAGGGTGAGGGGGCGTCTGAGGGGGGCCGGGCGGCGTCTGAGGGGGGCCGGGCGTGTGTGTGGCCTTCTATTGGCCGCAGACGCTAGCGTTCAGACGGTTTTCAGCTCTTTTGGGCCCCGTACAATAAAAAAGACATCGAGGTGCTGGAGCGGGTCCAGAGAAGGGCGACAAAGCTGGTGAGGGGTCTGGAGAATAAGTCTTATGAGGAGAGGCTGAGGGAGCTGGGGGTATTTAGCCTGGAGAAGAGGAGGCTGAGGGGAGACCTTATTGCTCTCTACAACTCCCTGAAAGGAGGGTGTAGAGAGGTGGGGGTCGGTCTCCTCAGGTTGCACCAGGGTGGGTTCAGGCTGGATATTAGGAAAAATTTTTTCACGGAAAGGGTTCTCAGCCATTGGAATGGGCTGCCCAGGGAGGTGGTTGAGGCACCATCCCTGGAGGTGTTCAAAAGACGGGTTGATGTAGTGCTGGGAGGTATGGTTTAGTGATGATGCTCCTTGTTTGTTGTGTGGGTGCCTATTTTTGTCAGTTAGGTTGATGGTTGGACAAGATGATCTTTAAGGTCCCTTCCAACCTAGAAGATTCTGTGATTCCGAAAATTCCTAGAATGCCGGGTAGCCTGTTGAGGTGATATAATGGTATCAGCAACGTTTGCTCGTGGTGGAAATAAAGCTGGGGTTTTTGTTTGCTTTTTTTAATCCACGGGTGTTTCGAGTTGAGCTCTGCTGGAGTAGGATAATCCCAGTTTTGGGGAGTTCTCGTGTTTTGGCTGAGTGAGACCAGGGAGGGAAACAAACTGAACTGTTCCAAGAAAACAATGATTACTGAGGGGTTGGGGGATTGTAGATCCTTAGGTCGCTGTTTTGTTTCTGTCTGAAAGGACTAAGACCCTGGTGAAATGCCATGCAAACGACCCAGGTTGTGGCAGTTGAAAGCCATCTCCCTGCTCTGAAGGGGAGAGAAGTAAAAGAAAAGACAAGAGGCAACAGGCACAAGCTGGAACATGGGAAGTTCCACTCAAATCTGAGGAAGAACCTCTTTCCTGTGAGGGTGCCAGAGCCCTGGAAGAGGCTGCCCAGGGAAGGTGTGGAGTCCCCTTCTCTGGAGATCTTCCAGACCCACCTGGATGCTCCTGAGTGATGTGCTCTGGGCAACCCTGCTTTGGCAGGGGAGTTGGACTGGATGACCTCTAGAAGTCCCTTCCAACTCCAACAATTCTATGCTTCTATGAAAGCATCTGTCATTCATTTTGATGGCCATCCTGGCCCAAACCACAACAGGGGTGAGGACTTTTAGGTGATGAGGTGAATATAAGCATTGGTGTTAATCTGTCCTCTTGATTCTGTGAAGCTTGAATGTGTAACGTGGTTCCCTGTATCAGCAGTTACTGAAGCTGAGGCCTCAGATGCAGAGAGTTCAAGGATACTGAAAAGTTGAAAGAGGATTTAGTGAAGAGATGAAAGCATGTTAAAAAAACAGACTAGAATTACTTAAATACACAGAGTTCCTTGAATTTATGGTCAAGGTTATGGTAGAAGACTAGAAATATTTCAAGGAGCTGTAGTCTACCAGACAAAGGTGGAACAAGTCTGGTGACTGGAATTTGAATGGGAAAACATTTATTTAAAATGAGAAATACTTAAGAGTGAGGGTAGTTAACAGATGGAAGAAAATGTCTCAGTCTCAGATAAAGCCGATGGGTTTATGATGGGGTTTTTTGGTTAGAAATAATCTTGAAGATACCAGGGAGGTTTTTGAGGATTTTGTGTGTGTATGTTCTTGGCACAAGCAAAAGCTATAATATTGCCTTATTTAAACTTCTGTAAAGAACAGAATCCAGTGGCATGCAGAATGATTAGTAAGATTGATATGAGAAATTGGGAGAGGGAAGAAATCTAAAGATAAAGTACATTGAATGGGGGGGGCTGCTAGATTAAATTATTAAAGGTGCTTCTTTGTGCTTGGCCTTGGGACTATGGCTCAGGGGGAGACCTGTACTGAAACTTCATGAAGATGGAGGTGAGAAGCGGAGACACTGTCAACAGAAGCAGATGGGAATATGTCCTGAGAAGAATACAAAGGCTTTTGAGGGCTGTATTAGTAAAACAATTAATTGAATTGTACAGAATGCAAGGTCACATGAAACTGGGAACCAGTAGCAAATTTGAAAATTGTTCCTGCTCTGCTCAGCAACAGAGGAAAGAGTTGGGCATATTGGTGTTAGGTGACAAAGTCAGCAGTGTAAGAGTTAATGGCAAAAGCTAAGCACAGTCATAAGATTGCATTAGAAATTGTATTTTTTGTATTGTTGTATTTTTTTTCATAGAGGTATAGAACTGTTACTCTTGCATATGTCAAGTGGGTGTATTTTTTTTTCATACAGGTATAGAACTGTTACTCTTGCATATGTCAAAGTGAGACCTTACTGAAATAATGATTGTCTGTCAACAAGGAGGTCAGCTCAAACTGAGGCAAGTGCAGAAATGTAGGAAGGCTAAAGGAACAAGACAAGCTATTTTATTAGGAGATGAATAATATTTCTGTATAACTCAGTACACTGCCTAGCAGAAACAGCTGGGGTACATGGGATTAGGGATCTAAAGACAGCAGGGCAAGGTTACATGCCTTGCCTACTTTATCCTGCCTTGACAGGATTATTGTACTCAAACTGGCTTGTGTAGGTATCTGTGTGGCAAGGAACTGGATTTCTAATGAAAGGCTAAGATGAGATACATTTGAGTGCCATAGGGAGGAAAGCAATTTATGATTGAGGGCACTATTAACAATTAAATTAATTAAGAAACTGCCTTGGGGGTGGGGAGGGAGAACAATTTCGAAAAGATTACTAAGGCTATGTCTCTTTCTGTTTGTCTGCATCATTTGTGAGTAATTGCTGCTAAGGACCTGGTATCCAGACAGTAAGGATCTCAAGATTTTTTTTTTCTTTGGACTAGCTCTAAAGGAATTCAGTTTCGAGACTAGTCCATTATACAAATGAAGCACAGGATTGTACTTTAAAAATAAACCCCAGCTCTGAATTAAAGCACTGATGTAGGTGCACCTTAAAAGAAAGCTGAAAGATCTCAAGCTGCCAAGATGACCCGTTTTTGAATCGTTCAGCTGCAGTACTCTTTCTGCCTAATCCCAAAATTTCCAAGCTCTAGCTCCATCTTCAGGGCATGATGATGGTCTTGATCTCTATCACTGAACTCATTCTAACTCTTTCTGAAATTGAACTCTACTGTCTGCTCTGGAAGGTGCATGGATTTGTGATTATAATGAGTGCCACTTTACTGCTGTTCTAAGAAATATTCTTTTCCTACTTCCTATTTTGGCTATAGGAATTAAAAGCTCTTGTATCACCTGTCCTCACTGCAGTTGTAAATGTGTTCTTCCAAGTCCAAATGACAATATCCTGCTTGATGGTAGCTTAGGTGGTCATTTGGGACTGTCTAATTGCTTTGTAATTTCATGCTTATCCATTGTTCATAGGAGACAATCATACACTAATAAGTAGGCTGAGTACTTCAATGTGTTACGTGCTCTAGTTGTGTCCTTGCAAAACTTGGGGGTCCCGTGTTCCAGAATCCTAGGTTTTGCTAAACTGACACCAAAATATGTACAGGAACGCTTCCTAAACCAGAGTGTTCAGTCTGCAGCTTAGACAAATCACTTGACACATTCTTCACTTCTCATTTTGACTGTTTCTGTATCATGCTGTGAAGATGAATTACTACAACCAGCACATTAATGGAAATAATCTCATGATGGCCCCCATTTTAAAATGTATAATAATCCTTGTGACCTTCCAGCCTTGCGAGGAGGATTTCCCTTGTAGATTTACACTTCTGACTAAGCTCTTGTACTGCTTTTGGTCTGTCAGTTGCTATAGCACCATGTGTTCACAGACTGCACGTGGTTTTGTGGACATTCCACAGAAATGTTCTTTGGAGCAGACAGTTGTCTTTCATAGTAAGCTACTGAGCAAATCAAAACTTAATTTATTTGTGTAAGATACCATGGTCTTCTAATTTGATGAATATAAGCCTATGATGCATCTTGCCACTTTTAGGTCACTGTTACAAACTGCAAGAGGGATAGGTTTCTCTGGTCACATTCTTAGAGATCATTCAAGTTCTTTTAACGTGGAGGAATACTAACTAAATGTGCTTCGTAGATTTCCTAATTAATTAGAAATTCAGCAGATTATTAAAGCCTGGTACCGCAGTGTCTAGTATATTTCTAGCCACACTGGGGCAGTGCTGGAGCAAGACTGACTTAACTTGTCTCTTCTTTTCCAGCTCTTATTAATGGCCTCTCCAAAATACCTACTCATCAGAAGAAAAGGGTGTATCTCTGTCAGCTTTTGATAAGAATTGAAAAAGGAAGAAGCCTCGGTAAATGCTCTGATTCTTTTTTTTTTTCCTTTGCTTTTTCCTTTTCCTTTTTTTCTTTTTGATGTTTAAATAGACTTGCATGGACTTGCACAGAGCTGTGTCAGGCTTTCACATCACCTTTACTGTACATATAGATATTTAAAAAAAATAAAATTACTGAACTCAACATTTTGTATTCTCTATATTCCACAAGTGAGTGAGCTGGATGCAGGACTAGTGTTATTCTGTGCTGACTGATTTAGCTGCTTTGAGTTTCAATGACTAAATGCTTCTTAAATTACGGATATTTTCTTGCTAGAGCAGCATCAGCAAAAGAAATCTACTAGAAAAGACTGACTAGCTGTTAGTAAGTAATATTGTGAGTTTAAAGCACAGAATGTGTGTTGCTTTTATGCACATGTAACTCTAGAGGTTAAAGTAGAATTGACAGTAGGAATAAAAATATGGATGAAAAGGATGACTGCCTTTGTTTCTTACAGAAAGTTGTAAGACTTTCAGCTGGCAGCAGATCCTTGGGGCTCTTATTCCCTGCCACATCTCCTGTTTGGCTGTATTCACACCTTACTGGTTTAGCCAAGCTGATTTTGCTTCCATGCTCAAGTTTCTGGGAGACTTAACTTTTTTGCTGCAAGTTTTCAGCGCTTGATAAAACTCATTGGAATTTAAGGACTTCAAAAAGCAGTCTTGCCAGCGTAAATGTGGAAGAAAAAAGCACATTCTAGGCCAGCAGTGCCTCGTCTTTATAAAATGAAATTTCTTATGTTGCTTGTCAGGTAATAGCGCTCTTCTTGATTTAGGTCAACTTCAGAACCAAATTCTAATAATTAAAATAGTCCATCGTATACAAATCATGAAACTTTTCTCATAATGCTTTAAAAGATATTATTGTGTATAACACTTGGGAAGACAACTTCAATGTGTGTTTATCTATCGGTGTAGAGAATGACCTGTGTGGTGAGGAAGAGATTGCCTGTCCTTAGGTGTTACATCAGATGTAATTGCACAGTATACATGGAAAGCTAATAAATTGTATGATAGCTTTCCTAATTTTTTTCCAGTTATTAAAATATTTAATCTGTACTAAGCCTTAAAATAAAGTAGGCTGTTTCAGCTGCTCTTTGAGTTAAACACTTTGTTTGAACTTAATATGAAGTGTAATATTACATTGAAACAGCAATTAGAGTAACACGTTTCAGCTGCTCTTTGAGTTAAACACTTGGTTTTCATATTAAAATGAACTTAATATGAAGTGTCATATTACATTGAAACAGCAATTAGAGTAACACAGAAGTGTTATTTTTTTTAATGTGTATATATACATGTAATACTATTTAATTTTTTGTGTTTGTCTTTTACTGTAGTGGATATCAAATATTTTTTATTTTTTCACTGTTGCTTAATTGTTTACCTTCTGTCTGAAACTTACTGTAGTGTATATCAAAATTTTTTTTTCAGTGTTGCTTAATTGTTTACCTTCTGTCTGAAAAATACTCACTGTATAGAATAAGAGGATTATGAGAGAGATTCAGCTGTGATTCCTTCATTTTATGTGACATAAGTGAGGCTGTAGCTCAGTGAACATCTTGAGCTAAGCTGGCAATGCCATGGGGGGAAAAAAAAGGCACCCCCCAGCTCCTGCTGCATCTGTTCTCTTGGCACATCCCTTGTGCAGATGTGCAACAGCTGGGCTGGGAAACTGTTTCTAGAGCAAGTTGAAGGCTGCTTCTGCTGTTTCAGTGACACCCCTGTCTTAAGCTGTTTGAATTTCCCTCTCAGTTTAACCCCTTCAAATATAACAAAAAGTTAAGACATGGAAATACAGAGAGAGAGAGACTCAGGAAAAAAACACTTAGGGTTGTGGTTATATTAAAAAAACTAACGGTATCAATGCCAAATGTTTTTATATCTGATACCAAGCTTAATGCAAGAATATTGTTCATGCCAGCCCGATGATTCTAAACTGAGCACTACTGGAAGTGGCATTTTATGTGTCTGCTAATTATTGTTCACTTAATCTCCCTTAAAAATGCAACAGCAACATTATTAGCAAGGGTAGGAAGATCCAGCCTCTCTGAAGAGTTACTTCAGCTCTCTTAAACACAAATGAAGAGAGAGACTAAAAATTATTTAAGGAAAAAGGAACTGAAATTATGTATAGTACACATTATTGTGCATAAACACTGTAATATATTTTGCTTTATTCATTAAGGTTTTTACATACCTCTTTTCTCTCTCCCCCCTCCCCCCTTCAAGAAAGCCATTTTGAAAATAATCAAAGAATTTCACCTTTGGAATCTGCTTTGTCTTTCTGGACTTTACTTGAAAGGGAAGAAATTAAACTGGAAAAGCTTCATGAAGATATTCGCCGCTTGATTCAAATTCAGGTCTGTGTGACTTACTCAGAATTCATCCTGCTAAAACAGGGCTCTTTTTACAAAAAGCTGGGGCTGATAATAGCCTGGACTGAATTTTCTATGTTTTCTATGTTTGTTGTATTTTCAAGTACAGAGTAAGTAGATCTGTACAGGTGACCTTTTCCTATCTAAGTTGGTTCCTGTTTGTCCCAATCCAAAACAGTTTCAAAAGCTGCCAATGTGGGGAAAAAAAAAAGAGTTATCAAGAGATCAATTTAAAAACACTAGTATCTTGAGCTTTAAAATATATCATGAATAGCTCTTTTTTTGGCGGGTTAAAAATAATTCTTTGTATGAAAAAACTTGATTTCAAAGAGAAACATGTAAAAACACATTGACAGCTACTGGGACTGTGAAAGTCTTTCAGGGAAAGATGAAAGCAATACTTAGTAAGTAAGTATGGGACATTTTGTGTGAATTGGGGCCTTTTAAATGCCTGATGGAGAGGTTTTAGGCCTTTATACATGATGTTTTATATTGTTTCAGAATTAGGAAGTCTTATAAAGCTGTGAAAGTGTGACTTCTGTTGGTTTTTTTCTGAATTTCAGGTGAAATGTATTTCAGCATATCTTGTCATTACATTTGTTGTAGATTATAGCAGTCCACATGGAAAATGGGTATTTCAAGGAGGCTGCTGAAGTTCTGGAAAGGCTGTTCACAGACTCGGAAACAGATAAGGTAGTGATTTGTTTAATTTGAATTAAGCTCTCCCTTTTCAGAGGAGAAGAGGGGAACGATTGTTTCAGAATTAGGAAGTCTTATAAAGCTGTGAAAGTGTGACTTCTGTTGGTTTTTTTCTGAATTTCAGGTGAAATGTATTTCAGCATATCTTGTCATTACATTTGTTGTAGATTATAGCAGTCCACATGGAAAATGGGTATTTCAAGGAGGCTGCTGAAGTTCTGGAAAGGCTGTTCACAGACTCGGAAACAGATAAGGTAGTGATTTGTTTAATTTGAATTAAGCTCTCCCTTTTCAGAGGAGAAGAGGGGAAGGGGTTTCCAAAGCTAGCAAATGCTACCTGCCTGGCTTTGTAGTCACTTACACACCTGTGGCACTTGCAGATAAAAAGGAAATTTGTGGCTATGGGATTGATAAAAATAATGAGTAATTTGGGGGAGTGAAGTTCTTCTGGCAGCGGTTGTTCTTTACTGTGGGCAGCATCAGTAAGTGGACTTCCCCACTTCATGTGAGGAGTGAGGTGTCACTACAAAATCTGGGGATTTGATATTGCTGTTTTCTCAGAGTAAAAACAGTATAAACAAGGTGGTAGAGGCATAAGAACTCCCAAATAATCAGTCTGCTGACTTTTTCTGAAGCATTGTAGTACGCTCTATTTGTCATCTCTGATTAGTGTTCTACATCACAGAATTTGATACTGTAAAAGAGTAAAAACAGTATAAACAAGGTGGTAGAGGCATAATAACTCCCAAATAATCAGTCTGCTGACTTTTTCTGAAGCATTGTAGTATGCTCTGTCATCTCTGATTAGTGTTCTACATCACAGGGAAGGAAAGCTCATTAACATCCGTAGTATAGAGTGGATAATTTTATGCCTCTATCTAGAAAAGATAATATGTGGATCTGGCCACCTCCTGGTTTGACTGCATCATTCAGAAAGATTCAAGTTTAAATGCATATATCTTTAAAATAATAGAAAGTGCACACAGCTGAATTTGTCGGGATGGAGAAAAGAGCAAAAGGAGGACTGGAGGGAAAAAAAAAAAAGAAAAATGCAAATGTGCTGCCTCTGTCTTCCTCTGGTATGTTAGGACACATGTTCTATGTAAATAGCACCAGAGTATAGCTTATTCTTCAGGTGTGCTCTTACTGCAGCCTACACTTTCCAAACATCTGAGTCTTCTGAAGGAATAGTGTTCAAATTCCTAAACAAGAACACAGCCTGGTCACAGAAGTTAATTCTTGGCTTTATTGGGCTCTGTAAGGTTCAGAGTGGTGAAGTTGGGATTATCAGTATTGATGTGTCCTTCATGCTACTGTGCTGAATAGTTCTTTTCCTGAACACTGTAAACCCCTTGCAATGGCAGTCGTTTTGAGGCAGCAGATGAGAAAAGAGAACCCAGTAATGAGTGGCCTTTTCTGGCTGTTTTTCTTCCACTGACAACCTTGTTTTCAATGTTACTCATAAAGGGAATAAAAATGAGCAGCTCTGGGAAGGTACATGCAACCATTTACTGAGCACAGGAAGTAACCTCCAGGGATTATGCCCGGTTAACTTTAGAACCCTTTCAAACTGTAGCATGGAGCTGTGTAGGCATATTTAGAAAACTTTGATAATCATTGTGTTTAGCATTGTGTATGTCATGTTTAGCATAGATGCCAAGTTTACTGCAGGATATATTTTTGTGTTGTATAAAGCTTTGCTTTTCTTTAGCCTTTAAGGGTGAAGCTGGCAACTGTAATCAAAAGCAAGGATCCCTACGTTCCTCTTCTTCAAAGCTTCAGCTACGATCTTTTGATAAGTAAAATCAAGTCTTACACTGAACTTTTCATGGCAGAAAATGAATCAAGCTTCTTAATACAGGTATGTCAAAACTATTTTCAGAACTTACTTCAAGAAGTGCCTGATAAGATTAAATAGATTCATACTTTCTAGGGAATTGTTTCAATAATATTCAGTTGTTTGTATTAGATGAAAAGGAAGCTTTATCTTCCCTTGGATTGTCTTACTAATTAAAAAAAAAGGTTGAATATATGTTTAGGAGAAAGTGGGAGTAAGAATCCTCTTTTGTGAATGTCTTTAACACAACTGTTTTGATTAGAAAAATAGTTAGGAAAAAGGCATAATTAAAACAAGGTCTGTCATTCGTGTGTGTTTAAGAGAAACAGTTCTGATCTGAGACTCCTAAAAAGATAATGTAACTATATATTTAATGTTTATTTAGGTTAAGTCTATATGAATTCTCATACTAAAACTAAAAGATCAAGACCTGTTAATTTGGCTAAAAGCTTTAGGAATGTCAGGGGGGTTAGGAGACAGAAAACTCTTATTGCTGTTTTCCTGTAAATAAATTAAAAAAAAAAAGTGCTCCTTACAAACCATCTTTCAGAAGTGATTTAAAATTGGCAAGAGCAACATTCCTCCTGCAGTTCATCTTCAGGAGGATTGTAAAGAATTTCTCCTATGTTTACTTCCTATAAAAGAATATTGAACTAGTCAATTACAAAAGCACAAACATCTAAAGGTAATAAGAAGCAAATTATAAATAAACAAACCTGAAGTACCCCTGGGGGTTTCGTTTTCTTACCAGAAGGAGAGACCAGAGAACTTAAATGCACTCAAAGTATAATACATGGAATAGTTTTTAATGGTTTCACTCTACTAGCAGTTTTTAAAGGCTATCTCTTTGAACCTAAGAGGAGATGGAGATTTGGAGGTTTTGAAGAAGGTCTGAAACTCGGTGTTAGCATCCCTAGGCTCTCTGCAGGCACCCCCAACTGCCTGCACATCTGTCCTACTGTCTGCACCAATGGTGCACATCTTACTTCTGAAATCTTTACTTTGCGCCGAGTTACCCTGGGACGTGGAGGAGACAACTTTGTGAAGAGTTCCTGCTTCTGCTGTGCCGTACACATTGCTGTTCCCCAGTAGTGAGCTCTGCATAAAGACAGTCCAGCTTTAACTGTGAAATCTCTCTTCTCTTTCTTCTGTTGCCATACGTAGAAGTATAATCATACAGCAGTTTGGGTTGGAAGGGATCTTTAAAGATGACTGAGTTCCAGCCCCCTGCAATGAGCATGGGCATCTTCAACCAAACCAGGTTGCTCAGGGACACGTCCAACCTGACATGGACTGTCTCCAGAGATGGGGCATCTCCCACCTCTCTCAGCAACCTGTTCCAGTATCTCACCACACTCACTTGTTGCATATTTGTTGCATATATTTTTGTTGCATGTTTGTTGCATATATTGTCTACATATACTTCATATGTAGAAGTATAATCATACAGTAGGTTGGGTTGGAAGGGATCTTTAAAGATGACTGTTTGTGAAGAGTTCCTGCTTCTGCTGTGCCGTACACATTGCTGTTCCCCAGTAGTGAGCTCTGCATAAAGACAGTCCAGCTTTAACTGTGAAATCTCTCTTCTCTTTCTTCTGTTGCCATACGTAGAAGTATAATCATACAGCAGTTTGGGTTGGAAGGGATCTTTAAAGATGACTGAGTTCCAGCCCCCTGCAATGAGCATGGGCATCTTCAACCAAACCAGGTTGCTCAGGGACACGTCCAACCTGACATGGACTGTCTCCAGAGATGGGGCATCTCCCACCTCTCTCAGCAACCTGTTCCAGTATCTCACCACACTCACGGGAGATAATTTCTTCCCAATACCTGATCTCAATCTCCCCTCTTTCAGTTTAAAACTGTTCCCTCTCGTCCTATGGCTCCCCTCCCTGATCCAGAGTCCCTCCCCATCTCTCCTGGAGCCCCTTGAGGGACTGGAAGGGGCTCTAAGGTCTCCCCGGAGCCTTCTCTTCTCCAGGCTGAACCCCCCCAACTCTCTCAGCCTGTCCTCACAGCAGAGGGGCTCCAGCCCTCGGAGCATCTTGGTGGCCTCCTCTGGCCCCGCTCCAACAGGTCCATGTCCTTCCTGTGCTGAGGACTCCAGAGCTGGACACAGAGCTCCAGGTGGGGTCTCCCCAGAGCGGAGCAGAGGGGCAGAATCCCCCCCTGGCCCTGCTGGCCACGCTGCTGGGGATGCAGCCCAGGATGGGGGTGGCTTTCTGGGCTGCCAGCACATGTTGCCACCTCATGTTGAGCTTCTCACCTACCAACACCCCCAAGTCCTTCTCCTCAGGGCTGCTCTCCAGCCATTCTCCACTCAGCCTGATAACTTCTAAAATAAAATACAGTGGATTTAAGCTTTTTATAAACTAAATCCTTTCTACTCTTTATCTGTATGGAAACACATCCTCACTTTCACATGTGTTTTGCTACCATCAACCACTCTAAAGTCTGGGACGTGTGTGTACTGAAAGTGTTATAGGTACACCTGGTCCTGCTGTGAGCTAGATGAACTTGTGTCAGTTCTCAGTTTCTAATCTAGTTATAAAAAACAGGCTTTGGAGTACTTTGAGTACGTTTGCAGTCTTAGTTAATTTGTGCAATGTGTTTCACACATCTGTATATTCACTTATTATGCAGGTATTTGCTGTATTTCTGTGTGTCTGTATAAATACCACAAGTTTGTATAAGTACCACAAACTACAACTAAAATTTCTCTGCGTTATTAACTGATAAAGACCTTGATGGATTTCAACTGAACACAGTACAGTTGTTTTGAAATTACTTATTTTAATGGTAATTCCTCTGTCGGGTCTGTGAAATAAACAGTCTTAGTCCTACTAGAGTGTACACATAATCTTAGTGTCAAATACTATCTCAGGGCTGCTTTTCATTTTAAAGTATTTATTCCATTTCTCACAGGCAGCCACAAAACAAGCAGAGTCTAAAGGACTGGGAGCACCAGCATTGGAAAACATAACTGTGAACGTCAATGAAAACCACAAGTGGAATTTGAAAACAAAACAAAGGTTTGTATTAAGCATTATACTGCTGAGGGACATGCTTGGACAGTAACTTGAAACTTGTAGAACTAGGAGTAGGCAGGAGGAAGGACGTCAAATTCCAAACTACTGTCCAACAGAAAGTTAACTACAAGCACATTCTATAGTTTTAATTTTGGCATTTGCATCAAATAGCTTGGCATTAAGTTTAAGTACTTGTTGACGATGCACATTTTCCAGTTTAAACAGCTGTCTTGTATAACAACCAAAACATAAAAATACTTCTTTTTTCTTTTTTTCCCCTTTATGCTTGATTGAGCTTCTTTTAGTCCTGCCTTCCTAATTTCAGGCTATAGGTTGTCATGATTCTATGAAAGGGAATTAGTCTATTACTTTATCCTTACAGTTAAACACAAGATTTTTCTTACCTAGTGATGCTCATGTGATGGGGAAATAGTTGTGTTGCTTCATGATTCTGGCAGTGGGTACCCTCTAAGAAATGCTGGGGAAACTTGAAGCCCGATTCCTTCCCCCCTCCTTTGACTTTATTTTGAAAAATACTAATATTCTAAGTTTATAACCACTTGTTTTTCCAGGGATTATAAACTGTAGTCTTTAGTTGGGAAAGAGCTTGTATTTCTACAGTTTTATACACTTGGCATCATTTAGTTAAGGAAATCACTGATGCAGACGGACAGTGCAGGAAGACAAGTCATAAGACTTTTTTTTGGAATACTTGGCATTGTTTAGTTAAGGAAATCACTGATGCAGACAGAGTGCAGGAAGACAAGTCATAAGACTTTTTTTTTTAAAGACAGCTCCTGACACAATTACATCTGGATATGTATGATGAAAGACTTAATAAAAAAAAAACCTACAGAAACAGTTCCTAGATTGTGAAGAAGGTATGAAGACATGTGCAAAATGCCCCGTGTCTTAAACTTAAACGTGCAATATCTGATGTGTTTCTCTTCCAGGTACAGGGAGGAAAGGTTCAGAGGGTGAATGGATTGGAGCTGTCAGTGTTTGTGTGCCCCTTTCTGTAGAGAAATCTTGATATTTTCTTTAATTTAAATTTTCTTGAATCATATGTATGGCAAGTTACTGCTTAGTAAATTTTTTTTTGGCTTTTTTTCTTAAAGATTAATGAAAGAGCAACAGAGTGTTACAGATCAGTCACCTGGAGATGTAAAAAAGCCCACAGTAAGGTAAAAAATTTGTTGTTGTTTTTCTTGGTCATAAAACTTTGTGAATTTCTGTGTAGCTTGACTTCAGTTCTGTGTTCCTTGCAGGCCTCGCTCAGGACAGAAACACAGAACAGCCAGAGTTCTTCACAGTGAGTATTAACTAATTTTTACACTTTCAAAACAGCCATGTCAAATGTTTTCTCCCTCCCCCTGCAATAAACGGGGGGAGGTTGCTGCTTAGTTTCAATTCTCTCTATGTAAAATAAGAGCACTGTGTAGTAAAAAATGTTTTTACCAATGAAATAACAACATTTAATTATTATGTACTAATTTTTAACCCAATTGTTTAAAATATACTACTTCTGTGAGCTCTATTCCATAGAAAATATAGTGATTTTTTTGAACAAATTTATTTTTTGAGTCCTTGGACTAAGGTGAGAGTCACATGTATACATATATAAAAGTATATTCATATATAAGCAGGCACTGACATTTTCCCAGTCTGTCAAAGCCTATCAAAATAGTTACATTCTTGTCTCATGTAAATGGGAGAATGCAAAACTGCTGCCTTCATGTTGACTCCTCATTGGTTTGGCTGTATATTGACTGTCTTCTAGGTCTGAACAGCTTGCAAAATGTGCAAAAAAATGCAGATGCTTCGACTTGTGGCCGAAGAAGACAGGTTTGTACCCATCCTCTGTTCTAAATGGAGATAAAACTAATCTCCACTCCATAGAGTTTTTTTTCCCTGACATCTTTTGACTCTGTCTCCAAAATGTCTGGCTTTAAGATTCTCCATATTATTCAAGCTGTGCTACAGCTCTTGAAACATTTTTAAGTTCTAATTCCTGTCTTTTAAAAAGAAAGGGACTCTTTTTGTGCAGTCTAATGCTTATGAGCCTTTAATTTGTTGAAATACACTATTACTAAAGCTTAGTCTGAATCTTTTTAAAAGGTGGGGGGAAAAAAGAATTCACTGTTTGGATTAAAGAATTCAGAATATCACTTGCCCATAAGAGATTTTGGGCAAACTTCAAAGACTTTTTGTTTTCCTACTTAAAAAGTTAAAGATTGTGGTGGTTTAGGATGGGATAATCTTCATAGTAGGTAGTAATGGGCTTTGTTTTGGATTTGTGCTGAAAACAGTGTAGCCAATAGAGGGATGTTTTAGTTCTTGCTGAGCAGTGCTCACACTGAGTCCAGGCCTTTCCTGCTCCTCACGTGGTCCCACCAGTGAGCAGGGGGAAAATCATATTTACTTGGGAAGGTGTTCTACTTGTTTATAAACAAATAGGGGCTTTTTATAATGCTACACTTCAAATACCCAGTAAGAGAATGCAAATGACTAAGCTTATTTCATTGAACTACTTGAAAATAATTCTACTATGTTCACTGATGCTAGAATTCCCTGTTGGTGAGAAGGACAGAAGTGTGTGCCTTAATAGAAGGCAATTAGAAGTTGATTTGATATTGGAGTGAACTGTTAAAAACTGATTATTGCACACAGCTAATTTTCTTGTTATCTTGACAGTGATAAACACTTCTGAATGAAATTAATAGTAAATAAATGTATTCCCACTGTTGAATTCCTCTTGTGTATCTCTTAGGAAGCAATCTGGAGTCATCAAGTTATCAACACACCTCTGTTTTAGGTGTGGACTGTTTCTTCTTTTCTGGTCTTCATTTTGACATTTTTCACATACCAAGGAAGGACAAACCTGCTTATGTCTTTTTTTCAGACTGTCTTTGAGGAGAGTTGTACTTATTATTAGTTCTTTAAGCATCTTTATGGCAGTTGAGGTACTTCAGTCACATACTGTCCTCAGATTGGTTGAGGTCCCCAGTGACAACTCATCTGTCCTTGGAGGTTAAGCCCCCTGCTTAAAGTTTTTCACTTTCTCACAAATCTCAGGATTAGTTAAATCACTGAGAGCCTCCTTAAAACCTGCAAATACAACTGGTGCCCTAAAAAAAAAAATAATAAATAAATACCAGCACTTAATGGATTTGTTTGTTGTTTTCAAAAGTGTAATAAATTACTTTATTCCAACTTATACTTGGATAAGTATCTTGCCAGCCAGTTGCTGGTGAGCACGGACACTTCCATCATTCTTGTTTTCAACATCAAGATTTAAACTAATTGCACCACAGCTGACACACAGCTACTGACAGCTTTATGCTCAACTATTTTTATGTTGAGATAATCTGTTCTGGGGTCAGCTACAAGCACTGAATCCTGGTCTAGGGTTTGTACACACATCTTGCTAGGAAAAAAAAATATAGATGTCATGTGCTTAATTCTGTTATTATATAGTTCAGTGTCAATTGACATGTAAAGACTAAGTTTATTGAAAACTACACCTGATAGTAGTGAAGAACTCATTGAAAGTTTTATAAAAAACTTGAAAGAATTAAGATTCAGGACTATGTCTCTTTAAACACTTAGAAAAGTAGGCATTTGCTGTCGGGGTGATATTTATGCTATACTCCCTGCCAGTGAGACCTCTCATAAATATTGTATAAAAAAAAAAAAGCAATGATATTGGCCTTTTAAACAATAAATCTGCTCCCTCTGCTTAATAATCTGGGTTATAAAATTGTCTGCATGCATGAAAGAATGCAGTGAATGTCAGAGCTGTTGACTTGTAGGACTTCCTTTTCCCTGTGGTCCCCCTTTCAATGTTGGCATTGTTTGCGCTCGTTCAGTAAATGGCATTTCACTGCCATGGTTCACTGCCCGTTTTCAGCCTTTCACTGCCCTGTTTTCAGTGAGCTGTGTACAACAAGCTGCAGTGCTATTGGAAGGAAGCGTGCTCTGTTTCCTCCTGCCTAAATTAGGGCATGACAGTGTCACCGAATTTAGGGAACTGTTTGTACTCGACTTCGTGTCCTCTGTGCGTCTGGCAAGTCCTGGGAGTTGTCTCAAATCTGACTTTTTACTTAAATTAAAGAACATGTCTGAAAATCGGAGTTTTCAGAATTTAGTCAGACTTTTACCGTGGGGGAAAAGTAAATATATTTAAACTTGGAGGGTAAAAATATCAGAGCAGAGTCCCAGAATGCACAATCAGAGGATAAGAGGTTACTAGAGCAGAAGTGGCTCTAAGGAATAAGGAGATATTTGGATACGTGAGGGTATGTCTACACGGTTGGTCTGGCAAACTCAAGCTTGCTCTGCTGGTGTTCTGAGCTAACCAGGGGCTCAATATAAGCAAAACCCAACCCTTTTAACAGCAAATATAATTAATCATTACAAGAAGCCACACAGATTGCGGTTGTCTTTCTTGATGGAAGAATTTGAATTGTCTGGTCCTGTAGGTCAAGCATAATTGCGTTACTTGAATAAAGATTTTATTTAGGAAAGTTTTCTGCTATGCTCAGAAATGAGATGAACTAGATGGTTCCAGTGGACCAGGGGAAGTTCAGGTTGGAAATTAGGAAACATTTCTTTACTGAAAGGGCTGTCAGGCATTGGAATGGACTGCCCAGGGAGGTGGTGGAGTCACCATCCCTGGAGGTATTTAAGAAACGTGTAGACATGGCTCTTCAGGGCATGCTCTAGTGCCCAAGATTACTGGTTTGTGGTGGGATGTTGTGTGGGTGGGTGATGGTTTTGGTTTGGTGGTGGTTGTTGCGTGTTTAGGGGGTGGGTGGTGGTTTGTGGGGGTTTTTTTGGTTTTGTTTTTTTTTTTTTTTTTTTTTTGTTGGTTGGACTCGATGATCTCTGAGGTCCCTTCCAACAGTAAAAAACCCACCTTTCACTGCTAATGTTGCAAAAGATCCATGGAACGGGAAGTATTGGAAAAAGGAAGTATTTTTGATAAAGGGTCGACTACTTCAGAGAAGTTTTGGGTTTCTAACTGTTTAGGAACACAACTGAGCTACTACCCCTGTTAATTCTTTCCCTGCTTAGTGAAGTTCATCAGTGATCAGAGTTTCCTGAAGAGGCACTGATAGTTGCATTAAACTGGAATAAGTCCAGTTTCCACATGTGAAGTTTGATCTTCGTGTGATCTTCTCAGCTCTCACTTGTGTAGATGCCAAATTTTTGCTTGTTGCAGAATAGCCAGAATACAATTTTGATGAGGCAGAGTGTTATCAAAGTATCACCCCCACCTTCCCAGAAAAACAGCCTTTCACCTCCGAGTGCTGCTCCCACTTCTAGCAGCTTAAATTCAAGGGGAGGGGAGAACTGTGCAAAATGACACTCAAAATTGTCACCAGGTGCCTGAATTGTTGTTGCTTTTAAGGGCAGAATCTTTTAAGCATCCCCAGAAGTGTTCTAGTCAGTAGGAGAAAGTAAAGAATTAGTTATACTAGTTGGTTTTATCAAGTTTAAATTTCTCTAAGTTGAGGCTTTTCCTCTGCAACTGCTTTTCCCTTTCTAGCCCATTCTTCACAATTCTGAAAGTTTCAATTTTAAAGGTTAAGCCATAGCAGGAGGGTCCTGGGCTGGGGCTGCTGGAGGAGGTGGCCATTTCTAACATCTCTTAACAGAAATTAAATGTATATAATCCTTATGTGAGGGGGGACCAATCCTTTGCTAATGTGCCTACAATGATAAATTTATAACTAAACTCTAGAGCCTTATGGGGGCTCTCCAAGGGGAACTCTTACGAACAAAAGTTGTGACTCTTTTGCTATTTCAGAGCAAATCCAAATAAAAAAAAAAACAATTTTGATGAGGCTGAGTGTTATCGAAGTTTCACCCCCACCTTCCCAGAAAAACAGCCTTTCACCTCCGAGTGCTGCTCCCACTTCTAGCAGCTTAAATTCAAGGGGAGGGGAGAACTGTGCAAAATGACACTCAAAATTGTCACCAGGTGCCTGAATTGTTGTTGCTTTTAAGGGCAGAATCTTTTAAGCATCCCCAGAAGTGTTCTAGTCATTAGGAGAGGAGAAAGTGTAGAATTAGTTATACTAGTTGGTTTTATCAAGTTTAAATTTCTCTAAGTTGAGGCTTTTCCTCTGCAACTGCTTTTCCCTTTCTAGCCCATTCTTCACAATTCTGAAGGTTTCAATTGTAAAGGTTAAGCCATAGCAGGAGGGTCCTGGGCTGGGGCTGCTGGAGGAGGTGGCCATTTCTAACATCTCTTAACAGAAATTAAATGTATAGAATCCTTATGTGATGGGGGACCAATCCTTTGCTAATGTACCTACAATGATAAATTTGTAACCAAACTTGTAGAGCCTTATGGGGGCTCTCCAAGGGGAACTCTTACGAACAAAAGTTGTGACTCTTTTGCTATTTCAGAGCAAATCCAAATAAAAAAAAAAAAGCACAGGCAATGGTTAAATGTAGAGATAACAGAACTTGGTTGGATTTTGGTTGAAAATTGACCATTTGTCTCCTGTCATAACTTGCAATGGTCCGTGAGATCATCAGGAGCAGCAGGACATCTCCAGCGCCAGAAACTGAAGTGAGCACGGATTAATTAAATGGAACAGCTACACAATACAATCTTTTGTGCATCTCAATCTCATTAACATCTTTAAGTTTACATTTTTTCTGTAAGTTATTTCAGATTTGGGGGAGTAAATTTAGAAAGAATACACTATCAAACTGCGGTTTAAAACAGAAATCAATACTTACTTATTTAGAAACAGTTTTCCTACAGAGTTGTTTCAACTGGGGATCCTGTCCTGTATTTGCTTAGATGATACATGATTCAGTTTGCCTAAGGAGGTGTGCTGGTCATACATCATTATGATTAATTGTGTATTTGATTAGATTTTTAAGGCATTTGCTAAGGACCAGGCTCTATCAGAATAAATTATTTTAAAATAATTTCCTATTAAAGTTGCTAATTGCTATTCCAGAGTGAAAAAATGCCTGTATGTAATAACCTATATTAAAAATAGGTGTGATGGGATATATAGGATCTGTAAACTTTTCTTATATGTATGCATCTTTCTATAAAGCTACAATTAAAAAAAAAATTAATACTCAGTTCTCCCCCCACACTTTTCTGTAAAGGAAAGCTTTTCCAAATCAAGTATTTGATTCTTTTAAAATTCCATTTTCTTTCACTGTGTGCAGTCTTAAAATTGTTTGAATTGAGATATTTGCATCGAGAAGTAATTAAGGAAGAAGTAGTAGACTTGAGAGCTTCATCGGAAGGGATTGCTTACAGATGTGTAACTGCAAGTGATTTTCTCTCCTTTTATGAGAGAAATGTCATCCCCTGAAGATTGAGAAGCTTGTAGGACAGCTTGAGACTTTAGTGGACTCAACAAATGGCCAAAAACAAATGCATAGCTGTTACCTGAGGATATGGCTGATCTCACTTTCAAATGCAATATCTATGTTTTGCTTCTATCAGTGTTCTAAATATCAGGATTTGTTCTTTCGAAGCACACTGAAATGCCTTTGATGTTGGGAAATAGTGTCTTGATTCTAAATCCCTAGATTAAGGTGTCACAAAATGCTTTCTCGTTTGTGATACATACTGGGATCAATCAAGGTTCGTCCTGACTCAATCAGATAATAAAATACAATTTTGGAAAGAATTTCAGTCGGGACTTTTGTTTCAGTTTGGACTGAAACAAAACTTTGCCCAATGTTGTGGGTTTTTTTCCTTTTCTTTTCCTCCTTGTGAACATTGAAGCACGTGGTTCTTCTTTCAGGAGATGTTTGCTACTGTGTTGTAGCACTTGACTTGGTAACCTTTGCTGCATTTAGTGTCCAGTTATGGTGCTCAAAAGAAATCAAAATGACCTTACTTACCCTCAGACATCTGTACGCTGTAATAACTGGAGGGCTGTACAAAAACTGTGGTGCTCAAAAGAAATCAAAATAACCTTACTTAGACATCCGTATGCTGTAATAACTGGAGGGCTGTACAAAAACTTGCTTTTCTAGTCACTGTAAGCTTAGTTCTTACATGAAAACCTTTCTCTGTTCATAGAGCTGATCTTCTTCTCTGTTCTTCCCCTAGAGATGGACTTACAAAGAAGACTTGGCGCTGAGATCTGGAGTAAAGGAGTTTGGAGTGGGTAACTGGGCCAAAATTTTGGTCCATCGTGACTTCAACAACCGAACTAGTGTCATGTTGAAAGACCGGTGGAGAACCCTGTGCAGGATCAACCAAGACTAATTTGGACAACAGGAACTGACTCTCCTGACGTTTCCCTACACAAGGACCTCCTCTAGCTTTTCAGAATAACCTTATTTTAGTCTCGGATTGCCCAGCCGTGTTGCTGTCTTGAAACATGGAACAAAACAGTAACAGGTATAAAAGATTCATGTAAGCTCACCTGGATGGGAAATATAAAGCCTGGCTTTTATCTACATGCAATGGATGGTCTAACATCTGAAATGTGGCAATGCCTGCGGCGATTTAAGAAAGGTCAGTTACATATTTAGAGGTATTAAATGACTGGCAACATGTTTAGCTCGACAGAGGCTACTAAAGAGTCAAGTGTTCTGAATTTTTAAAGGCTTGTATCTCCAGTCAGATTGAGTATTTCATCATTTTCCTTCCTGCCATATAACCCGTCCTAATCTGATTTGCTTCACTTTAAATTTTGGTCAGACTTGCCATCCCTGTCAGTAAGTTATACCAAAATATACGTATATTTTTACAAACTGATTCCTTTTTTTGTAGTTAAAAGGGGTAGATCCTCGAAGGCCAAAATGTTGAGGAAGTGTTAAGATAATCTCTCCGCTTTCTGTTTTGGAGGCCTGCTTCCATTAAGATCAAGTGGTGAAGGACAGTCCCAAAGGTTTGTTTCACACTCTTTCTGTGGACAGGACATCAGCCAGATCACCTTCCTCATTTTTGCCACCAGATGCTGTGGTTTCTTCTTGGAGCTGCACTCTGTAGATTTTAGGTTCCACAGAGATGCTGCGTGTCTGAACGGTAACTTTTCTCAACCTTACTGTATAATTTATTTTTAGCAAACATCATGAATTTCAGCATCTTGATAAAATAGAGGCTTCGTCCTTCAGCAAGGGATGCTTAGAGCAGCCACAAGCCAACAGTTCAAAAAGTCACAGAAGGTATGTGATAAGTGGAAGGTGCAATATGTGTCCTCTTTGGTGCTGTAACAGTAATTCAAGGTGAGTAATAGGGAATAAACCAGGGATTTGAGCTAGCTGCATAGCAGTCTTACTGGTGCTCTAATACTGCAGGTTTCTGAGTTAATCATTGCACATGAGCGGTTTTAATTAGTCATGAGTAATTTATTTTTAATGTTAGCCAAGGCTTTAGTCCTGAAGTTTTGTTTGTCTGCCATAAAGTTCACCCTGTGTGTTAGTGATGTGAAGTTGTGAGCGAGACCACTCCTTCACACTGTCTAGTCTTTAGGAAGGTGGCAGAACAGGAAAACTGTGATGTGGAGGAAGAATCCTCCAATTTGTGTAGAACAAACAACTGTCCAGATGATACTGGGAAGGAACGAGATCTAAACTGAAATCTGGTTTTAGCTTTCAAACTGTCATTTTCCTTCCCCCTGGCTATTTAACGGTGACAGTAACTACTCTCAGACCCAAGGGTGTCTGGCTGGCTCCCCCCTGAGCAGGAGCAGTGCCTGTAGGCAGGACCCTGGCCAGTAAAGAAGGAGAACCTTAGGAAAAGCAGCGACTACGGTTAGAAACGTTAGCTCTTTAATTACAAAAGAGAAAGGTGGAAACAGCTTCTACTGTTCTAACACAAAGATCAGTCTTAGCCATGTCTGTTAAGGCAGAGAGAGTCTCCCAAAATCCTTCTTCCAAACTTCCGACTCTTTTAAAATTCATTTAGGCTCCAGAAAATGCAGCAGAAAGATGTTTCCCAAAATCCTTCTTCCAAAGTTCCGACTCTTTTAAAATTCGTTTAGGCTCCAGAAAATGCAGCAGAAAGATGTGGCTTTCTTGACTTTGGTGTTCATTTTCTTAATCTTTTTGTTGTCGGTGGTTTTAAAGGTCTTTTAAACTTTTTATGTAAAAACAAAGCTATGCACCAGGGGACATGAGCAGTGCTCCAGTTGCCGAATCTTCTTCCAGGTTCCTTGGCACAGAGAGTTGCCAACTGCTTCCCAGTGTAAGATTTTACCTCTGAAATGTGACAACAAACGAGGAATGAAAACACTGAAAACTGTGTATTTCGCATTACTGGGTTGTGTTATATAACGTGTCCGAAGATTAGAGTTGCTTAATGATGTAAGGTTTTAATTTGCTCACCTAGCTCTTAAAATGCTTTCTGAAGCAGGCACTATGTTCCTCGGTGTAGTTTACAGGATGGGGGTTGTACAGATATTAAGTAGTATATGTATATTAATGTATAGATCAAATAAAAATCAGTTCTGAATATTAAATGTCTACCTTCACAATGACTGTTGTAGAAATGGGGTGTATAGGTTTGAGAGAGAGGAGTCGCTGTTAAACCCCACAGCAGATTTGGGTTATGGCAGGAAATAATGTTTTTAAGTAAAAGAGCCCATAGCTGTAAAAAGACCTGTTGCACTACACAAGTTGCATACAAGTCCTATGAGGAGAGGCTGAGGGAACTGGGCATGTTTAGTTTGGAGAAGAGGAGGCTGAGGGGAGACCTCATTGCCCTCTACAACTCCCTGAAAGGAGGGTGTAGAGAGGCAGGTGTTGGCCTCTTCTCCCAAAGGACGAACGACAAGACCAGAGGAAATGGTCTGAAGTTGGGGCAACTTCAGAGAGTGGAGAGAGTGGTCAGGCCCTGGAACAGCCTGCCCAGGGAGGTGGTGGAGTCACCATCCCTTGGGGTATTTAAGAAACGTATAGACATGGCTCTTCAGGGCATGCTCTAGTGCCCAAGGTTATTGGTTTATGGCGAGGTGTTGAGTGTGGGGTTTAGTTGGTGGGTGCGGTGTTTTTGGTGGGCGTTTGGTGTGGTGTGTTTTGTATTTGTTTGGCGTTTTTTGTTGTTTTTTTTTTGTTTGTTTTTTGTGGTTGGACTCGATGATCTCAGAGGTCCCTTCCAACCACTACGATTCTGTGATTCTGTGATCCCTTTATGATAGCAGATAAATGATTCAAAGCACTGAACTCTTACACTGAAATGATTTCCCAATTTTATCCAGGTTTTAAAAACTATTCCTGTCCAAACTGAAAGGGTGAATCTTCTGAGCTCTCCGAGTGCTGTGAGCTGTTTCATTTTTTTAGGTATAATAAGTGCAGCTTTTCGTGAGACCCCGAGGAGTCTCCGCTTGGGTTTTGCTACAGGAGAGAAGGCAGGAATAATGGTTTTCTTTACCCGTCTGCGTTGTGTCCGTCTCCGGAGCATCGCTGGGTGTGGGGGTTGATGGCTGGAGCCTGGCAGGTGACACACACCCTGTGTCCTTCTCGCAGGTACTGCATCCAGCGAGCGTGGGGCCGCCTCTCCAGGGCGCAGTGCTGGGAGAGGGACTCCGTCCTGAACTCCACACAGTACCTGCTCGAAGGGAAAGGTCTGAATGGCAGATTTTAGGCTTTTTAGATTGAACATTAGGAAGGGATTTTTCACAGAGAGAGTGGTCGGGCATTGGAACAGGCTGCCCAGGGAGGTGGTGGAGTCACCATCCCTGGATGTGTTTAAGGGATGTTTAGATGGGGTACTGAGGGATATGGTGTAGGGGAGGACTTTGTAGAGTAGGGGAGATGGTTGGACTCGATGATCCCAAGGGGCTCTTCCAACCTGAATGATCCTATGATAAAGCCCAAGCGAGGTGTACGCTTCAAATGCACTTCACAAATACCACCACTTCCTTTACAAGCAAAGACTGAGGGGAGACCTTATTTATGTTTATAAGTATCTAAAGGGTGAGTTGAAGGATGTTGGAGCTGGACTCTTTTCAGTGGTTTCCAGCGATAGGACAAGGGGCAACGGGCTCAAGCTGGAACGTAGAAATTCCATTCAAATATGAGAAAAAACTTCTTTGGGGTGAGGGTGATGGAGCCCTGGCAGAGGCTGCCCAGGGAGGGTGTGGAGTCCCCTTCTCTGGAGATCTTCCAGACCCACCTGGATGTGCTCTGGGCAACCCTTTGGCAGGGGAGTTGGACCAGATGATCTCTAGAGGTCCCTCCCAACTCTGATAATTCCATGATTCCGTGACTACGATACGTAAGTTAGACATCATCAGTGCTAATGAGTCTGTTTCTGACCCTAATTAATGGATTCTTAAAAACATTATGCAAACTATTTCATGATACATAAATGCAAGTTAGACATCATCAGTGCTAACGAGTCTGTTTCTGACCCTACTTAACGGATTCTTAAAAACATTATGCAAACTATTTCTCATTCTGTGCCCCAGTGCAGTGCTTTATGTATCATCTCACTTTCTGCTTGTGTTCTGTATTAAGTTATGTTGAAAACCAGATCTCAGAAACCCACATTTTTACTTCTGTGCTGCCAAAAGAGCAAATGGGAGAGCGGTGTTAAAAACACCCACTGGCTTTATTGTTCTGGGGAGAGCATTGTGAGCATCACAGACCCAGTAATTTAAACTTCAGAACCAGCTTTACTGGTAACCAAAGGAAATTTTTTACTGCTTGTGTCAATTCATTTTAAAAAAAAAATAATAAAGGTCTCTTGGGACCGACCACACGCAGCCCGTTGTGTTCTCAGACTTACACTGAGAGATACATTCATTGAGCATTATTTACTGTTTGCTTTCAAAAGCAGCTCTTCTCAGATTCGCCCTGACCCCAAGGTCTAATTCAGTGCAATTAGCAAAACAACTTCTAGAACATGCAAATGACCTGTGGGAGAGAAAACCGGCGCAAGCTATAGCTTATTGCTTAATCATTGCAAATCTAATTGCGTTTGTCTCTGCAGCCAGCTATTTTCTGTGGAAGGAGGTGACCCACATGCATAGATGAATAGATTACCCAGCTTCTCCTTTGTCTGAAGGCCGGAGAGAAGACGCCGCTCGCCGATTTCTTTCTTTACCATATTCAGAGGTAGTTATGAAAGCAGGGACTGCAGGAGAAAGCGGTTACAGTAAGTCATTTTTCAATTCCTGTAACAGCAGGTGGATGAATCAGGAGCTTGTGGATGGTGATGCTGACTGACTGACTCAAAAAGTGGTGAAATTTGGGCAGTATCAGAGCTCAGCTCCGTTCCCCACAGCTACGCTCTCTCCGTAGTCGGAAGAAATACGTCTAGAAATTGGTGCCATCTGGTCTGTGGGGGAGTAGGATGTGCTGGAGATAATTGGATGCTCACTGAAGGAATGCATGCAGCCTAGCTGCTCGCTTCATAGAAAGTAAGAAAAGCCCAAGTAGGAAAAAAAATAATAGGGTAAAGAGCAACGTGAGAGTAGAAAGTAAGGTTTTGGATTATAGCAGCCTTCCAATTCTTAGAGCCCCTTCCAGTCCCTCGAGGGGCTCCAGGAGAGATGGGGAGGGACTCTGGATCAGGGAGGGGAGCCATAGGATGAGGGGGAAGGGTTTTAAACTGAAAGAGGGGAGATTGAGATGAGATCTCAGGAAGAAATTCTTTGCTGTGAGGGTGGTGAGAGCCTGGCCCAGGTTGCCCAGAGAAGCTGTGGCTGCCCCATCCCTGGAGGGGTTCAAGGCCAGGCTGGATGGGGCTTGGAGCAACCTGGGCTGGTGGGAGGTGTCCCTGCCCAGGGCAGGGGGTTGGAACTGGATGATCTTGAAGGTCCCTTCCAGCCCAAACCATTCTATGATTCTATGAATTGTATTTTTAAGCAGCTGGCTGCAGATAGATACTTATTTTTTCCTGTTCATTGACATCAGTAAAATTTATGAAGGCCCTGATGGGCACAACATACAGAGAAAGCAAAGAGAGCATAAATACCATGCTCGTGTCCGCAGTCCTCTCCCTGGTAGGTCAGGTATTCCAGGCAGCCAGCCTTCTGCTCCAGAGCAGGACAAGGTTCCCCCCCGTTTTGAGGTTCCTGTTGTATGTAGCGCCTCCGTACCCGCAGGTGGGGCTGACACTGTTCTGCGCAGCCACTCCAGTGGCTCCACTCCCCCACAACGCACGGAAGAGCTGCAAAACGGGATAAAAACATTACTAGAGTCAAGACTTCTGTTTTATCCTAATTGCTCGCAAAAGCTTGAGTACAAGTCCTATGAGGAGAGGCTGAGGGAACTGGGCATGTTTAGTTTGGAGAAGAGGAGGCTGAGGGGAGACCTCATTGCCCTCTACAACTCCCTGAAAGGAGGGTGTAGAGAGGCAGGGGTTGGCCTCTTCTCCCAAAGGACGAACGACAAGACCAGAGGAAATGGTCTGAAGTTGGGGCAGGGGAGATTTAGATTAGATATTAGAAAGAACTACTTTACTGAGAGAGTGGTCAGGCACTGGAACAGCCTGCCCAGGGAGGGGGTGGAGTCACCATCCCTGGAGGGATTTAAGAAACGTATAGACATGGCTCTTCAGGGCATGCTCTAGGGCCCAAGGTTATGGGTTTATGGCGAGGTGTTGAGTGTGGGGTTTAGTTGGTGGGTGCGGTGTTTTTGGTGGGCGTTTGGTGTGGTGTGCTTTTTGGGGGTTTTTCTTGGTTTTTTGTGGGGTTTTTTTTTGTGGTTGGACTTGATGATCTCAGAGGTCCCTTCCAACCACTAAGATTCTGTGATTCTGTGAATTGGAGTAGCTGCCCAGAGAGGTGGTGGAGTCTCCTTCTCTGGAGACATTCAAACCCCACCTGGACACGTTCCTGTGGGACCTGCTCTGGGTGACCCTGCTCTGGCAGGGGGTTGGACTGGGTGATCTCCAGAGGTCCCTTCCAACCCCACATCATTCTGTGAATGTCCTCTGCCTGCTCCAGCTTTCCTGTGCTGCTGGGTGAGTGGGGAGCAGCCAGGTCTGCAGCTTTCCTTAGCCATGAAATGAGACAACCAGTCACAACACTGCAGCACAGGTCCACACTGCTTCCACTGATACCATGAGCTGCTTTTTGTCCTCGGATGGGCTCAGTTATTCAATAAAGCTATAATTAACGTCATGTAATTGAAATACTAGCACATAGCGGCTTATAAAAACCTAAAGGTGCCTACATTAATATTAGGGTTTCTTATTGATATGGTAATTCCCCAGCTCTTCAAAGACTTGTTTTCATTGCACATTGCAAATAGGCTTAACGTTATTCTTCATGTAGTGTGAATCACGTTTTACTTTGCTTTTCCACTTCTTTATAAAGGCAGGTCCTCAACATGACACTTAGACAATGGTGCAAAATACCTGTTATAATCAATGGTTGGGCTGTATCAAATTGTTTCTGAATTGGTTTGGGTCATGAGTGTCATTATCTAGTTAAATGTGATTTAGGTCCCTTTGACTTGCATCCTTTTCATTATTTCAGTGAATCATTGTCTGCCATCATTGTGTTAATTAAGCTGGACCCATAGTAACGTAGAGACCATAAAGATGTAGCTGTGGGTCCCTGACACTTCTTTTTGTTTTTCAAGAGATGGCACCATTCCTTTGATGTCAGCTCTGGGACCCATCCTCTGTCACGCTGGGGAATTTGACATCTTTCCAATGAGGCACAAAACTGATGTTCTGTCCCTTAATAGCTTCTGGGTACTGACTGCAAGAGCGATGTCATTATCCCACTGGCTAAATTCCATCCTAGTTACCAAACATTCCTATTATTCCACATGACTAAGGCAATTCATAATTCTTGTTCTAAATCTTGATGACCATAAAATTGCCGTGTCTTGCTGCAGATGACCAATATTTAACTGTCAATTTGGTTTAATTCCATGAAGATGTGAAATCATCGCTTTATTTGTTATGCAGCTACTCAGTCCCTTGGGGAGTTTTCTGCATGGAAAATGTGATCATCGAATCATAGAATGGTTTGGGTTGGAAGGGACCTTAAAGACCATCCAGTTCCAACCCCCTGCCCTGGGCAGGGACACCTCCCCCCAGACCAGGTTGCTCCAAGCCCCAGCCAGCCTGGCCTTGAACCCCTCCAGGGATGGGGCAGCCACAGCTTCTCTGGGCAACCTCTTCCCGGCTCTCACCACCCTCACAGCAAAGAATTTCTTCCTGTGATCTTATCCCAATCTCCCCTCTTTCAGTTTAAAACCCTTCCCCCTCATCCTATGGCTCCCCTCCCTGATCCAGAGTCCCTCCCCATCTCTCCTGGAGCCCCTTGAGGGACTGGAAGGGGCTCTAAGGTCTCCCCGGAGCCTTCCCTTCTCCAGGCTGAACCCCCCCAACTCTCTCAGCCTGTCCTCACAGCAGAGGGGCTCCAGCCCTCGGAGAATCTTCGTGGCCTCCTCCGGCCCTGCTCCAACAGGTCCCTGTCCTTCCTGTGCTGAGGACTCCAGAGCTGGACACAGAGCTCCAGGTGGGGTCTCCCCAGAGCGGAGCAGAGGGGGCAGAATCCCCCCCTGGCCCTGCTGGCCACGCTGCTGGGGATGCAGCCCAGGATGGGGGTGGATAACTGGGCTGCCAGCAAATGTTTCCACCTCATGTCGAGCTTCTCGTCCACCACCACCCCCAAGTCCTTCTCCTCAGGGCTGCTCTCAATCCATTCTCCTCCCAGCCAGCATTTGTGCCTGGGGTTGCTGTGACCTGGGTGCAGGACCTTGCACTTGGCCTGTCTGAAGGACAGGGTTTGTGCTCAGGCACCCACCAAAATGTGGAAGGTTGGGCGAGACACTTGGAAGTTCAAAAATACACAGAGAAATTACATTGCTATCCTTTGAAACAAAGCTTGAGTGGTCGGGGCTTTTTTGGTTTTTTCCATTTACAACACTGTGAATCATAGATTATTTTTTTCTGAGTCACACTCTATCTAATTTTTTCCTATCTCTGGAAGGAAGAGGCTGACAGTATCTTCACTGAATCACTGCACTACGTATGGGTAATGTGTAAGTATCTGCAGATTGTCTCAGAGGAACCCCTTCCATTCAAACTATGAGGTCATTCCTTTTTCAGACCTTCTCATTGTACAATAGTTCCCATTTAAAATGTTCTCTGTGTACAAGAATATTTTTTCTCCACTGTTAGAACGATAGGAAAATGGATTTAAAACCCCTTGGACATAGGTTGGGCAGGCCATGGACTTCTGCTGGGCAGTCTACTTCTAAAGTACCAGATCTACTACAATTTTTAGGCATTAACTGTGGCATTGGCAGCTTTAGGACACTCCTCCTTTCAGTGGTTTCTATTATTTTGGTGCATTGCTTTAGTATTATTCATAGAATCATAGAACCATAGAATTGCCTGGGTTGGAAGGGACCTTCCAGATCATCGAGTCCAACCATCAACCCAACACTGACCAAACCCATCACTAACCCATGCCTCTAAGCACTATGGCTGCCCGGCTTTGAAATCCCTCCAGGGATGGTGACTCCACCACTGCCCTGTTCCAGCCTATTCCAAGGCTTAATAACCCTTTCTGTGTAAAAATTGTTCCTAATCTCCAATCTGACCCTCCCCTGGTGCAACTTGAGGCCATTTCCTCTCACCCTATAACTTCTACCAGGGAAGTACCTCCTTTCAGGGAGTTGGAGAGACCGAGAAGGTCTCCCCTCAGCCTCCTTTTCTCCAGGCTGAACACCCCCAGCTCCCTCAGCTGCTCCTCACAAGGTCTCCAGCCCCTTCTCCTTGTGCTCCAGACCCCTCACCAGCTCCATTGCCCTTCTCTGGACCCGCTCCAGCACCTCAAGGTCTTTTTTTGTGGTGAGGGGCCCAAAACTGGACACAGCCCTCGAGGTGGGGCCTCACCATTGTCCTAACACATTTCTTGATTACACATACTTGAGGCACTTTACACTTTCCCCAAATACTTTGTCCTGTTAAATATTTGCAAAAGGACAAAACGTCATTGTGGCAGGTGCTGAGGGCACGAGAGCAGAACAGGCTGGTGAACAAGCTGTAGCACGAGAACCGCCGGTCACCTTTCCTCACGTTCCTGTTTTAAATTCTTTGAACTCTACCTTTAAAGCAGTATTTTGGAGTGAACTATGCCAATAAACAACCCTGGTGTCATTACATACGTGGACAGAATTTAGAAACACTCAACGGTGAGACCTCGATGTCCAACGGGAGCAAAAACAACTCTGAAATTTCCCACTAAGTTGATACAAATTCCCACTGGATGAATCTTAGAATCACAGAATGGTTTGGGTTGGAAGAGACCTTAAAGATCATGGAGTTCCAACCCCCCTGCCCTGGGCAGGGACACCTCCCACCAGACCCATCCAACCTGCTCTTGGTCTGGGACCACAGACGGTGCAAACCCATCACGTGTTTCGAGGCGACCACCACTGAGCTGGAGACAAAAGATACCACCTCATCATCAGGTGCCAGAAGTCGTGGTAAGAAAAGTATCTGAACTAGGACTTTCTGAGCAGATGTTTGAGGTTCTTTTTGCAGAGCATAGAAATTTGTATCACATCCCAGCCCCAGGTGAGGCCAGCGCTGCACCTTCACGGGGTCTGTCCTGTCACACCTGGCTGTTAAATGCCATTTGAGTTACTGAAGGGACGCAACACTCAGGTGTGGCTGAGTGACAAGTGTCCTGTCACCTCTCCCCCAGCTGATTTAGGTGAACAGAAGATCAGTACATTAAAAAAATAAATGCTGATTTTAAAGGTGCTACCTTCTGCCAGATCTCGTGGTGCACATTTTTTTTCTCTAAAGTTCTTCTGCAGAGATTATTTAGCAACGAGAGAACTGACCGTGTCTCCTCTGGAGACCTGGGGTGGGAGTTCTGCTTGGCGGAGTCTTTCTGGGTGGATTTTGAGCAACCTGCTCGGGTGGGAGGTGGCCCTGCCCAGGGCAGGGGGTTGGAACTCCATGATCTTTGAGGTCCCTTCCAACCCAAACCATTCTATGATTTACATCACCTCAGACGGGTCCTACACCCTCCGCCAGCCCTACTCCCCCTGCCCAAACCAGGCAGCCCGGGGTCCCGAAGCTATGTGGCTACTTCAGCAGGGTGCTGAGCCTGCTAATTACACCCTAATTAGCGGGACGGTGCAGCAGAGGCTCATGACTTGGTGGCCATGGTGCTGCACCTGTGGAGCCAGGCAGAGGGAGGGAGGGCAAATC